ACTGTGTTGGAATTTTGGTGAGGAGATTGCATTGAATCTGTAGATTGCTTTTGGTAAGATGGCCATTTTGACTACGTTAATCCTGCTGATCCATGAGCATGGGAGATCTTTCCATTTTCTGATATCTTCTTCAATTTCTTTCTTCAAAGACTTGAAGTTCTTATCATACAAGTCTTTCACTTGGCTAGAGTTACCCCAGGATATTTTCTATTATTTGAGGTCATTTTGAAAGGTGTTGTCCCCTGTTTTCCCTCTCAGTCCTTTTGTCATAGGAAGGCCACTGACTTCTGTGTGTTTTGTATCTAGCCACTTACAGAAGGTTTTCCAGTGGAGTTTTAAGGGTCATTTATGTATATATACTATCATATCATCTGCAAATAATGATACTTTGACCTCTTCCCTTCCTGTTTATATCCCCTTTATCTCCTTCAGCTGTCGTACTGCTTTAGCTAATGCTTAAAGTCTGTTGAATAGGTTTGGAAAGAGTGGACAACCTGCCTTGTTCCTGACTTTGGTGGAAATGCTTTGAGGTCCTCTCCATTAATCTGATGTTTGCTATCAGCTTGCTATAAATTGCCTTTAATATGTTGAGGCATGTCCCTTGTATCCCTAATCTCTCTAGGACTTTTATCATGAAGGGGTGCTGGGTTTTATCAAAGGCCTTTTCTGCATCTTAAAGAGATGAGCATGTGTTTTTTGTCTTTCAGTTTGTTGATATGATAGATTACATTTATCAGTTTACATATGTTTAACCATCCCTGCATCTCTGGGATGAAGCCTACTTGATTGTGGTAGATGATCTTTTTGATGTGTTCTTGGATTCAGTTTGCAAATATTATATTGAGAAATTTTTTTTTTTTTTTTTGCATCTGTATCCATAAGGAAAGTTGGTCCAAAATTCTTTTTCTTTGTTGGTCTTTATGTGGCTTAGGTATCAGGGTAATTATGGTCCCATTTAAAAAAATTGGACAATGTTCCTTCTGTTTCTATTTTGTTGAATAATTTGAGCCATATTGGCATTACCTCTTCTTTGAAAGTTTGGTAGAGTTCTGCACTAAAACCATCTGGCCCTGGGGTTTTGTTTGTTTTTTTGTTTTTTGGTTTTTTTTGGGGGGGGAGGCGGGGAGACTTTTAATGACTGCTTCTATTTCACTAGGGCTTATAATTCTGTTTAATTGCTTATCTGATCTTGATTTACCTTTGGTAGGTGGTATATATCAACAAAATTAGGCATTTCTTTTAGAATTTGGTGGACTACAGGTTTTAAAGTATGTCATTAAGATTCTTCAGATTTCCCCAGTGTCCGTTGTTATGCCCTCTTTTAATTTCTAATTTTGTAAATTTGGATAGTCTCTCTCTGCCTTTTAGTTCATTTGCATAAGGGTTTGTTACTACTGCTGATTTTTCTTAGAGAACCAGCTCCGTTTCGTTGACTTTTCATACTGCTTTTGTTTGTTTGTGTTCCGTTGATTTCAGTCCTGAGTTTATTTCTTGCTGTCTGCTCCTCTTGGTGTGATTTTTCTTCTTTTTGTTCTAGAGCTCTCGGGTGCACTGTTAAGTTCCTAGTATGACATCTTTCCAGTTTTTTATTTTTTTTTCTAGACTAGAATTCTTTTTATTAAGATTATAAAACTTAGACCTTTTTTTAAATTTTATGTGTATGAATGTTTGGCCTGCATACATGTATGTGCACCACACAGATGCCTGTTGGATCCCCTGACTGGTGGTCGGGATGGTTGTAAGCCACCAGGTAGATGCTTGGACTCAACCCCCAGTCTTCCTGCAAGTGCGACAGATACTCTCCACTGCTGAGCCATCTCTCCGGCCCCAGGCTAGGATTCTTAATGCATGATGGTAGTGAATTAGGGAAGTTCATGGAAATGACACCTCTTCTATTTTCTTTTCTTTTTCTTTTTAATCTCTTCATGGAGGTTACACCTATCAATACATTTATTTATAAATTAAACCAAAATAATGTTTAACTCATTAAAATGTAGCAGGGAACCCATGATGCCGTAATGAACTATTTCCCCAAACAATGATTTTAAGACAAAGGGAAGCGTTCATGGGAAGGAAGGGGAATCACTTTTGCATCTGCAAATCTCTAATGGCAGGCTGGCTCACTAGAAGACATCTGGATCTTCCAGTCAGTTTCTGTCTGGTGTGTCTCTGTATCTCACACCATGTAGCTCCTGGAACACATCACCAAAGCCTCTAAAGAATGAGAGTGAGGGATTGAAGAGATGGCTCAGAGGTTAAGAGCACTGGTTGCCCTTCCAGAGGTCCTGAGTTCAATACCCAGCAACTGCATGGTGACTCACAACCATCTGTAATGAGATCTGGTGCTCCCTTCTGGCCTGCAGGTGTACATGCAGACAGAATACTGTACACATAATAAATAAATTAAAAAAAAAAAGAAGAGGAACGAGAGTCAATAAACAGGCAACAGCTGATAATGGAGAGGAAGAGAAAGTGCCTCCAGGTCCTGGGTGGGCAGACACCTGGAAACAGCTGGATGGAGCAGAGGTGCCGAGATGTCATTGAGACGCATGATAGCAACTTAAGTCTTTTTTTTTTTTCCTTCAGACCTTTTCTTTATTCTTCTTTTGCATTCTCTATTCTTTATTTTCCTGGTGATTTCCTTCTCTTGTTCTTTGTTTTCTTCCTAACAGTTTTTTAATGTAGGCACTTAGCGCTGTGAACGTGCCTCTTAGACCCACCTTCCTTGTGTCCCATACGTTTGGGTATGCTGTGTGTTCATTTTCATTCAGTTCTAGAAAGTCTTTCTTAATTTCTGTCTGGACTAATTTTTCATTCAAAGTGAGTTGTTCAGTTTCCATGGGTTTATAAGCTTTCTATTTCTCTTGGTGTTGACATCCATTCTTAGTCTGTGGTGGTCAGATAGGATGCAGGGTGTTATTTCAGTGTTCTTGTATTTGTTGAGACTTACTTTGTGTCCAAGTATGTGATCAGTTCTGGAGAATGTTCCATGAGGTGCTGAGAAGAATATATGTTCTTTTGTGTTTGGGTGAAATGTTCTGTAAATATCTGTTAGGTCCATTTGGTTTATGACACCATTTCTCTGTTTAGTTTTTGTCTGGGTGACTTTGTGTTTTGGCAAAAATGGAGATTAAGTCTCCCACTATCAATGTGTGAGGGTCAATATGTGAGTGAAGCTGTAGGTGTGTTCCTTTTACAAACTTGGGTGTCCTTGTGTTTGGTGCGTAGGTGTTAAGAATTTCAAAAATAAATTGCAGTGTCCTCGTGGTGATTTTTCTTTTGAGTGTGTAGTGTCCTTCCCTATTTCTTCTGATTAGTTTTGGTCTGGAGTCTCTTGTGTCAGATATTAAAATGGCTACACCAGCTTGCTTCTTAGGTCCATTTGCTTGGAATATCTTTTTCCATCATCCCTTTACCCTTAGGTGATGTCCATCCTCGATGTTAAGGTGTGTTTATTAGATGCAGCAGACTTCCAAAAAGCATTCCACTGTTTGCGTTTTCACAGATTCCATTAATGGATTTATTCATACTTCTTTGACGACCCTGAACATATCATGATAGCTATTTCCAAGTCCCTGTCTGTACTTCGCCTACATTGCATTTTTCAGGGCCCACTGCAGTAGGGTTGCTGAGCCTTAGTGGAGACACTCCGTCCTGGCTGGAATTGTGTTTTTCTCCTGGCATCTGGCTTTGGAATGATTGGAATTTTGGGTGCTGACATCTGCTCTTGTCTTTACTGGGTGGGTGTTCTGTGTCCTTCTCTGGTTCTTAGACTGTGGTGGCTTTGGGTCGCCTGGCCCAAAGGGATGCTTCTGAGCTCCTGCCAAATGTGGCCGCTGGGAATCCTGGGTAGAGTGTGTCTCGGGGGAGCTGGCACACAGGCGTGGGGACAAGCTGGAAGGGGGTGGTTCAGAGGGTCCACGGGAGGGAGGAAAGTTGGGTGTGCCACCGGGATCTGCATTGACCCCTGGGAAGAGGAGCAGGGAGGAAGTCGATATCCCCATCACAACACAGTGATGTCACGGCAGGGGGTCCGCGGTAAAGCTGGCCTTAGACTGGAGTTGGAGATGGAGGGCGGGTGTTCGTGGAGTGCCTCCTGGAGTTGGCAGCTGAGACGTCATTTCATTTTTTTTAAGACAGGAGTTGCTGTGTAGTATTGTCTAGCTTTGAATGAGCTGTTCCTTCAGTCTCCTGAGTGCTGGGATTGTACATCTGGGCCACCACACCTGACTGTGGTTTATTATTTCACTAGAAAGAGTATACTTACTCAGAAATGAGTGAATTACTAACTCGATGAGGATTTTTTTTCCTTTTTCTTTTTCTAGCCAGGTGGATGGGACCATATATAGGTTCAGTACAATAGAAACAGAGTGTTTTTTGATTTGGAGCCCAGGATGATTGTTCGCTGGGTAAGGTGCTTGCTGGGCAAGCATGGCATTGAGTTCAATCCTCAACACAGGCATGAAGAGCAGGACATGGTTTTAGTCCCAGTACACGCGACAGTTGAAGCCCTGGAATTGTCTGGATGGACAGCCTAGCTTAATCAGGGAGCCCCAGATCCTAGTGAGAGACCTTGTTTCAAAAGCCAAGGCAGACAGCCTTTGAGAATGACACCAGTGCTGATCTCTGGGGTCTACATGCATATACACACGCGCCCGCATACGTGTGTCTGTAGGCCGAACACACACACACACACACACACACACACACACACACACACACACACGCAATATACATGATCTGGTTAACTGATAGAACAGTTATTAAATTCTTAGAATATTTTTTGAAAAATTGACAGGAAAAGTATGAAATAATTCTTTCTTACGCCAGGAGTCCATTAGTTTTGTTTTGATGTAGAAATGAGTTCTTGAATTCGGCTGAATTGGAAAGTTGTTGTTTAAGGTCCTGGAGATGTCCTGTGTAAGCATGTAGGGCTCCTCAGATCTGTGACAGTTCATGACACTAAGCTGTGGTTTTTTGTTTTTTTTTTTCCCTTTCAGGCTTCCCGACAAGCTGCAGGAATTCCGGGGATTGCACCGACCGAAGAAAAGTAAGGTTTTGTTGTTGTTTGTTTGTGTTTTTATCTAATAGAGGCATCGTTTCCTTTCCAGCACTAAACAAAACTATGTTTTCATGGAGTTGCTTTTTGTTTTTTTGTTTTTTTGAGTTCTTTTTGGTGCTGGGGATGGAACCCCAGGCCCCAAGCTTGGTTAGCAAGTGTTGTGCCTTTGAACTACAGCCTCAGTCCTAAACCTTATTTTATTTATTTATTTATTTATTTATTTATTTATTTTTTAATTTTTTTTTTTTTTGGTTTTTCGAGACAGGGTTTCTCTGTGTAGCTTTGCGCCTTTCCTGGGACTCATTGGTAGCCCAGACTGGCCTCGAACTCACAGAGATCCGCCTGGCTCTGCCTCCCGAGTGCTGGGATTAAAGGCGTGCGCCACCACCGCCCGGCCTAAACCTTATTTTTATGTCACTCATTTCCATGTACCTCTGGGCGTACAACCTAACCTTTACAAACTCAGAGGAAGGCTGTCTGTCATTATTTTGTCTTTCTCTACCCAGAGAAAGCTGAAAATAAGACAAACGGTGGAAAACAAAGCAGCCTTCGAGGCTCATCTTCGGCTCTCCTCAGGCTGTGCGCATGCCCAGAGCTGTCAGGGACGGTGGACATTTGGGTAGTTCTCCTGGACTACGTCAGAGGCTCCTTGTGTTGCTCTCTTGTTTGGTTTCAAGGTGTCATGAATTCACAAAATTCTCAGAAAAAATCCACATCTAAATGTAATCACAGAAACAGCAGGATGGTGAATATAATCGAATTTGGGATTTTTCAGTAATTCAAACGAATGAACCTTTTCTCTGTTGTCTGTTAACTCAGGGTCATCTGTGGCCTTTCTGATTCTCCCAAGTTAAATCGGCTATATGACATGTCTGTCTTTTACCAGAGACGGTAACCTCCCCGACATTGTGAGCAGTGGAAGTTTGCATGAGTTCCTGGTGGATTTGCACGACAGATACGGGCCCGTGGCCTCGTTCTGGTTCGGCAGGCGTCTTGTGGTCAGCTTGGGCACCGCTGACGTCCTCAAGCAGCACTTCAACCCCAACAAGACCTGTAAGTTACGTTTTCTTCCTCCTCAGCTGATCCCTTGCCTTCGGAGAATAAGCGTGTATAAGGAAAGCATTGCTGTTGGGTGGGAAGGGCTGATGTTGATTGAATGCTCTGTGCTGTGTGTTAGGTGTGTACTAAAGTCCTGGTTATTTCGTTTAATAAGATGCAATAGTAAGATATTATATTTTTCTTTCATTTACAAATACACACAATGCAATCCTATTGTAAATTACCTCAGGGTTCTTTTGAGGGAACCTGAGAAAATAGTTTCAGAGTACGTCTGGAAGGGTTAATGTATATGAGCAGCTAGGAAAAGCCTAAGGGATATTAGTGAGAAAATAGCTGTTCTGTCACATAGTACACTATAGAACACTAGATTGATTCAAAGACTCAGACGGTGATAGGACTAGACTGAGGGAGCCGAATGGTAAGTACTTCCTAGGTGAACAGGTACTCAGGAGAAACAGCATTTTTTTTTTTTTTTTTTTTTTTTTTTTTTGGTTTTTCGAGACAGGGTTTCTCTGTGTAGCTTTGCGCCTTTCCTGGAACTCACTTAGTAGCCCAGGCTGGCCTCGAACTCACAGAGATCCGCCGGCCTCTGCCTCCCGAGTGCTGGGATTAAAGGCGTGCGCCACCACCGCCCGGCTTTTTTTTTTTTTTTTTTTTTTTTTTTGGTTTGAGAAACAGCATTTTTATAACAGGAGGAATGCTGTAGAATATATATTTCAGGGCTGGGGAGAGGATTTGGTTGGTCAGGTGTTTGGTGCATAGGCCCTGCAGACCTGTGCTCTATCCCCAGAGACTACACAGGAAGCCAGGTGTGGTGGCATGCCCTTGTCTTCCCAGAACTGGGGAGGTAGCGTTTCCTGGGGCTCACTGGTCAGGCGATCTAGGCAAACGGGCAAGTCCCCATATTGTTAACAGCAGGTGAGATTTAGGATGGATTTTACTTTCTTTGTATTTCTCTGTGTTGTTTAAATTGTTTTTAGTAATGTGTGTGTGCACTCAAATAATATCCCTTCCAAAGGAATAGAGAGAATGTGAGATTAGCTGATTTTATTAACACTTGAAAATGACACACAAAATTATCTGTTTTGCTTTGAAATGTGTGTGTGTGTGTGTGTGTGTGTGTGTGTGTGTGTGTGTGTGTGTGTGTGTCAGGGGTTAAGAGCACTGGCTGCTCTCCCAGAGGCCCCAGGTTTGGTTCCCAGCACCCACATGGCAGCTCACAATTGTCTGCAGCTCCCGTTCTAGATGACGCAGCGCCCAGTTGTGGCTTCTGCAATCATGTGGTGCAGAGACATTCAGGCAGAACATCCAGGCCCAAAAAAGAAAACAAATCTTTTGAAAAGGTTGCCATGTCCATAGACATTTTCTGTAGGCATTAGTGAAGTCCAATGGAATTCTGAATCAGGACAGTTTTGCCCGTTTTCTTTGGCCCTTGATCTGTTGAGATTTACAAAAGACGGTTAAGGGTGTTGTGGGGAGATTGGCATGCTCTCTGCTGGCTCCCTTCACCTCACTGGCCTCTGTTTCCTTGTTGAATATTTTTTCTTCTGAATTACTATTTTAATGTAGAAATACTGAATCTGTCTGTTTCAGCGGACCCATTTGAAACCATGTTGAAGTCATTACTAGGGTATCAATCTGATGGTGGGAGTGTGAGTGAAAGCCACGTGAGGAGGGAACTGTATGGAAATGCCGTGACGGCTGCTTTGCAGAGGAACTTTCCTCTCCTGCTGAAGGTAAGGGGGTAAGTGTTTGGTCTGCAGTGTAGACGGCGGTGTCTACAGGGTGTAGAGGACGGTGTCTACAGGGTGTCCCAGGTGGTAAGTGTTTGGTCTGCAGTGTAGACGACAGTGTTTACAGGGTGTAGACAATGGTGTTTACAGGGTGTAGACAATGGTGTTTACAGGGTGTCCCAGGTGGTAAGTGTTTGGTCTGCAGTGTAGACGACAGTGTTTACAGGGTGTAGACAATGGTGTTTACAGGGTGTCCCAGGTGGTAAGTGTTTGGTCTGCAGTGTAGACGATGGTGTTTACAGTGTGTAGGCAACGGTGTTTACAGGGTGTCTCTAAACCATCAGGATCCCTTATGTTTGCCACTCTCCCGTTAACCTGTTTTTCTAAGCTGACTTTTTCAAGATTGTATTATGATAATTTGTAATTCTAGGAACGTGTGCATGTCTGGGGGCACTGGGTGACTTGGCTAGTCTAACTAGCTAGCTTCCTGTCTCTGCCTCCTGAGTGCTGGGATTAAAGGTGTGCCACCACTGATGTGGGCGCTGAGGTTCCAAACTACATCCTCATACTCTAACCACTGAGCCATCCTCCTGGCCCCTCAGGCCACTCTAGGTCAGTGTTGGAACTCTCATGAAAGTGTGGATTACTGGGCCTCTGCTTGGATATGCTGAGTGGGTGGGATGGGAGCCCAGCATCTTCAGGAAGTTGTACAAAGAAGACTTTGATTCACAAAGTCTCAGTCCAATCCCACTTATCCATACTGTAGTAGTCGGTCTTGGTTGCTGTGGGAAAGCCCCTGGGAAACAGTCTAAGGGAGGCAGAGTGTGTTTTGTTGATGGTTTTAGAGGCTTCTGTCTGTGGTGGCTGGTTCCACTGCTCATCCGCCTGTGGCAAGACAGCATGGTGGAAAGTGTTGAAGGCAGCCAGGGAGCAGAGGGTGAGAAGAGGTAGGGGTGGGGCAGACGCACCTTCACAGACTCATTCCTAGTGACCAATGTTGGTAGTCCTGCTGCCTAGTCTCGGATCAGCTTATGCTTACCTGTCCAGCAGGTGTCCTTGGAGCAAAGCACCTGTGGAAATGGACTCTCACTTGACAAGGACCAGTAGTCCACAGGACCGCAGAGGAATTTGCAAAACTCGTGCAGCTTGTAGGCTCTTTCCTCTCTTGTTATATTGTTGATTCTTTGGGCGGATTTTAGTTTTACTTTATCGGTCACACATGCAGCAGCTATAATTTTCCCTGGAAATTCTGCTCTTTGTCTAATATTTCCCCAGAGTTTTGACAGGGGGCGAATGCTTCTCAGATCTCTTATCTGGAATTACTAACTACAACTCCTAATCCTGGGAACTTTCCTGACTCAATAGAGACAGTTAGGTACATATGAGAAAACAACACTTGGAACATTAACCATGTCTCATAGTCCTGGAAGGGAGAGTAAGGCATGTACACACTGAATAGGGAAAAGCCTCAGGAGTACACATAGTGCCAACTGTTGAGAGTAAGTTCCCTGGACACCAAGCATATAGAGCCAATGGTAGGATCTGGTGAGATCCAATGGGAAAAACGCAATGTGAAACATGGGATGGAGAGATTCATCTTTACCATACACGGAAGAAGTATGCTATAGTGGAATGGGAAAAGAGTTCCTTATCAAAGTCTGCCTTTTATAGAGAGATTGAGACATGGGACCCTCTTGTAGAAAAGAGAACTATAGAGAAGCATATCTTGTAGACATGAAAGAATTGTCTGGGCTTGAATATTGTTGTCCTTAAAGCATTGTACCCATGTCTATTACGTTTTTACTTTGTAACCACAAGTAGCTGCCCGCTGATATTAAGTGCTCCAAGAGCAGGATGTATCTGGCTCGATACTTACTTAAGTCTGTAAAAATGCTGAGCTCTGTGTCTAGGAGAGGGTTATGCAGGGGGTGGGTTATGTATTTGGGGAAGCATAAAGGGGAACAATGGCTTTTATAATGATTACTGGTATTTCTTAAAAGTAAAAAATAGGAGCCAATAATAAAACTGCTCGTGTGAGCCTGGTGGAAAACTCTGTTGAAGTGTAAATAAAGACGGCTCATTTCAGGGCCACTTGAGTGCAATCCACTTGGCGGTCAGAAGTTTTCCTTGCACCAACGCCCCTTCCCTGTCTCAGGACCTGAACCTGAGCGGAGGCTGGACCCCGCCAGCCAACTTTCTCTGGTCGTCCTGACTCAGTGGCCTGTGAATATTAACTTATCGGTGGATTAGCCATTAATGAATGTAGTTCTTCATGATCCAGTCTCAGCAGTTAGTGCACTACACATGAAACCTGGAGGGGGGGGCATTTCATACTAGAGCCTGAACCCAAACCCTTCCTTTCTGTCCCTAAAGGCTCTTAGCTGAGCTGTGTGTGCGCCTGGACAGTTTCCGGTCCTGACCTTCGTCCTTACCCTCCGTCGCTGGCCGTCCCCACCCCTCAGCTTGTTGCATGTTCTCGCTTCCTGCTTTGCTGAGTCCCGGTCCGTCAGTTCCCGGCCTTCCTCATGCCTTCAGCAAACCTCTCCTTCTCAGCACCTTTTCTTTCTCTTGATCTTAAATCTCAGGGAATGCTTTTATTTTCTTCCTCTTCCCTCTCCTCACCTTTGTAGTGCTGGCGTTAATCCAAGGGCCTCACGTATTTTAGGCAAGTGTTCTATTGCCTAGCCTGAAGAATTCTTCCTTCCATCCAAAGCTAATCTACTCACCTTTGACCTGTTAAAATAATTCATCAAAGTAACGTGTCATCCTTATCAAAAACCTGGAAACGAACTGTATAAACGAGTCACAATTTCACCACGTGTTAGTATGTATATTGATATATATTATTGAGAATCATCAGAAGACTGATGCTTGTCTGGGCAGTTTACGGAGGCCCTATCTCAGAAACGTAAGTAGATAAGTAGTCAGTAAACAGTGGTGTTAAGTGATCAGTCAGCAAGGGAGTGTTGCACGCACTGTGCCTTAACCTGGTGAGGTGAGTCAGTGACCCACCCCCATTTCTCTTTAGTTTTTGTTTTTAATTTTATGTGTGTGTGTGTCTGTCTGTCTGTCTGTCTGTCAGAGAGAGAGAGAGAAGAGAGAAGAGAGAGAGAGAGAGAGAGAGAGAGAGAGAGAGAGAGAGAGAGAGAGAGAGAAGAGAGGATGACTTGAGGGAACTCTCTCGTGTGAGTTCCTGGGATCAAATTCAGTTGTGTTGACAAGCACCTTTATCTGATGAGCCACATCACTGTTCTGTCATATATTTTTTTTTTTGGTTGTCATTTCTAGAAGTTTCTATCAGTGAGTCTAATCCGAGAGCCAAGGCTTACAATTAATTGAATAGAGAGGGCTTACTATCAAAATTATAATGGACTGGAGTAGTAAGAGTGTCTGGTCAGAACAAAGACTTCGAAGACCGTGGAATGGTGGAGCAGTCAGCGGGGTGTGAGAGGGTTCTCAGAGGTGCTCTTCCCTGGGGCCATCCAGGCCCTGTGGAGTGTGTTGACGGCTGTGAAGGGCAAAGAAGACTCTGTGATCCACACCGATAGTACGTCCCCTGGGCCTTATTGAAAATCGTCCTCTGCTGCCCTGTGCTCGAGGGTGGCGGGGAGGGCTGTCCATGGAAAGATGTCTCTCCCTGAGGCACAGCTTTCTTAGCAGCCGGCAAGACCAGCCGCAGGACTCTCTGAAAGGATGGAGGGCCGCTGCAGGAGTTGCGGCCCTTTAAGGCAGAGCTGGTGTGCAGGGCTTGCTGGCGCACTGCAGGGGGGGTGGCACTGGGCAGCTGCAGGCATTGCAAAAACCTGCTGGGCGAGCACAAAGGAGGCTGGAAACAAGACTCTTCCTTTCTGGAAATTTCTCTCTAGTAAATTCCGCTGTTAGCTTTACATCATGCCACAGAGCAAAGGAAGACTATTTAGCAGGCAGAAAGAATGAATGGATAACTGGTATGAGGTCTTTCAACTTTATCAGCTTTTTCTGAGAGTCACTTTGCCCTCACATACTATTTGTTTTCATTCTTTTCCTTTTCCTCCCGAGCTCTGCTCTGTCTACCATTCAGCACATCCTCCGCCTGTTTTCTGATGCTCTCTACTAGTTACGTGTCTCTTTAGTTCTTTCCTTCTGTGGTCTCTGATATAAGGCGGTGTTCCTCGTCTGTATTGCTGTTCTTGCAAGTGGTAAACTGTTATTTAGTATACTGCCACGTTTGACTTGCTTGTGTTTGTTTTGTTGAAAAGTTTTGACACTTGTCTTCATGAGGGAAATTGACGTAAATGGTTTTTTTTTTTCCTTAGTTACACTTCTGTCAGTATTTGGTATCAAGGTTCTTGTAGCCTCATGAAACGAAGAGGAACTACCCCCGACTCCTTCTCCAGACTATTAGGCCTGGCATTCTTCTTCTACTGCCATTGTTGTTTGCTTTTGTTCTTTTGAGGGTCCCGCCACCAGCTCCCAAATAAATCACACATGGAGGCTTATTCTTAATTATGAGTGCCCGACCTTAGCTTGGCTTGGTGCTAGCCAATTTTACTTAAATTATCCCATCTATCGTTTGCCTCTGGACTTTTATCTTTCTCTGTTCCTGTATACCTTTCTTTGTTTCTTACTCCGTGTCTGGCTGTGTAGCTGGGTGGCTGGGTGGCAGGCCCCTGGAGTCCTCCTCCTTCATCTCTTATTCCTTCTTCTTTCTGCCCAGAATTCTCCTGTTTATTCTCTCTGCCTGCCAGCCAGCCTGCCTATTCTTTCTCCTGCCTTGCTATTGGCCATTCAGTTCTTTATTAGACCATCAGGTGTTTTAGACAGGCGCAGTAACACAGCTTCACAGAGTTAAAGAAATGCAACATAAACAAAAGTAACACACCTTACAATAATATTCCCCAACATACTGCTTTTAGCCATTCCAGGGGAAGGTAGTATGTCTCACATGATTTTAATTTGTATTTCTCTAATAATGAGGCCAGTCATCTTTTGTCTGTGTGTTTATAGAATGTGCTGTTTTATTTTGTCTTGTATTGAATACACATTTGTTTTACTGGCAGTCCAGATAAACACATATATAAAGAAAATACTAAACTTTTCTTTTGGCAGAAGTCAAAACAATTTATACAGATTAAAATGCCTCACTTTAGCCCAATAAATGGTTTTGACTCTTTTAGGAAAAATAACTGTCCAAAAGCATTTTTCCAGATTATTACACATTTCCAGAATAACACCCTCTAAAATTCAAAAATGCTACTATAAAAAGATGTCTATACCATATGGCTTTATGAAATAACTTCTGAATTTTTTATTTTTATTTGAAAAAGTTTCCCAGGTTTTAAATAAACTGTTAGCAAAATTTTCTCTCTTCACTTAAAAGTGTATATTCTCTGAAGATGGGACATACATAACTTTTTGAACAAAGAATAAATTTTACAAATTCACACGCACACACACACCATTTCACGAGGAAGTTTTTCCAAAGGAGGTGACATTATTTTCTCTTCTTTCTATAACTTCTGAGTTATTGATGAGATCTTTTTTTAGATTGATTTGTGAATGTTCAGTTTGCATGTATGTCTGGGCACTCTGTGCATGTTTGGTGTCCTGGAAGGTCAGAAGAGGGCATGACGTCCCCTGGAACAGGAGTTATGGCTGGTTGTGAGCCAACTCCCTGATGAGATCTTTTAGTGTGCTTGTTTGCCATCTATAGTGTGCCTTTGGTGAAATGGTTTTTTTTTTGGGGGGGGGGTTGTTTTGTTTTGTTTTTTGAGACAGGATTTCTCTGTGTAGCCCTGGCTGTCCTGAAACTCGCCAAGATCCCCCTGCCTCTGCCCTTCTGAGTGCTGGGATTAAAGGCGTGTGCCACCACCACCCGGTCCAAGAGTTTAAAAATACTGTGTGTGCCAGTCAGTCCCCTTGTGACGTCCATGTTCTGCGAGGTTCTTTCCTAACTGTTTGCTTTGGAAGAGCAAATGTTTTCAACTTCCATGAAGTATTACTTTCTGATATTTCTCTTTCATAGTTGGCGTCTATTAAAATCTCAGCACCTGCCGGGCGGTGGTGGCGCACGCCTTTAATCCCAGCACTCGGGAGGCAGAGGCAGGCGGATTTCTGTGAGTTTGAGGCCAGCCTGGTCTACAGAGTGAGATCCAGGAAAGGCGCCAAAATTACACGAAGAAACCCTGTCTCGAAAAGCAAAAACAACAACAACAAAAAATCTCCGCCCTTCTCCCTCTCTACAGACTGTGTCTTTCTCCTTGGTTTACTCTGCGTCCTTTTTCAGAGGATCCTTGTATACTGTGTGGATACAGCTGAGAGCTAGTTTTCTTACGCACCTGTTTAGCTGTGTAAAAGACGATCCCATTGAACTCTCAGGGACCTTTCTGTCCAGACTCTGTCCGCCACGCTTATGGGGCTGTTTTTCCTGCTTGTCTTTCCCTCGATTTGTGTCTGCCCTTGAGTGTCTGACTCATAGGGGCCTAAACGCACCGCCTTCTGACTTTATTTGTCCACTGAATTCACTGATGGCTTCAACCCACTGTTGAGCCGTCTGGTGGAGTTTTATTCTTAACCCTGGGCTTTTCTGTTCTGAACTCTTATGCAGGGCCCTTTAAAGCGTGTCTTTCAATGGATGGCCATTATTTGTGGAGACTTCATTAGCCTAGTTTCCTTTTGTTCTTTGCCTATAATTTACGCTAGTTGATATAAAAGTCCATTTTTTCATGTTTATATATATATATATATATATATATTTTTTTTTTTCCTTTTATTGAAAATAAATTTTTTCTCACATGTCCTGGTTATGGTTCCCCTCCCTCTACTCCTCCCAGTTCCTCCCCATCTCCCCTCCTGTCTGGATCCACTCCCTTTCTGTCTCATTAGAAAACAAACAGGCTTCTAAGGGATAATAATAAAATAAAACATAATAAGATAAACCAAAAACTATCATATCGGAATGGGACAAGACAAACCAGGAAAAGAGCCCAAGAGATGTTCTTTAGTCTGCTGCCTGAGCGTCTTCATAGACAGTTTCCGTCAGGTCTCTATTCCCTGTGGATCACCAGACTTTCTTCTTTGTTTGTGGGCCTTGCTTTTTCGAAATTAAAACTGCACACTTCACATACATATGGGGCAGCTCTTGATATCAGGTTCTCCGCCTGCCTGGGAGTTTCCGTTTGCTGCTGCCTGTGTGATGATTAGTAGTTGCTCATTTAGAGTCTTTTCTAAACTCTCTTTGTGGAGTCTTTTTTGGTCACATGTGGCTGCTGAAGTATCTGTTCCCATAGCTGAGTGCCCAGTGAGGGTGTTGACAGATTCACCCACCAAGATGCCGCCAATAAGAAAAAGAGGAAAGGCCAGGCATGGGCTACACACATACGTACACACACACACACACACACACACACACACACACACACACACACACACACGAGGTGGAGCGAGGAAAAAGAAAAAAGCCCTCAGTGGTCCCAGACTGGCATTATGCTGGGAGTCCTCTTTAACACTTACCCAGGCTCTTTATGTCCATCCTTTGCTTCCACTTCCTGCTTGTACAGATGTTGATGCTTGCCAGATGTGAAAGCTGAGGGTCTTCTGGGGCCTTCCCGAGCATGTGGTCTATCTGTGGGCATGCACACAGTAGACACCCTGGTTCAGTTAGTAACCCGCTCCTGGGAGCCCGTGTTCTGGACTCCTTGTGAATCCCCCCAAACCCTGTAGCACCCCCATACAGCTCTGCCTTCGTCAGCTTCTCAGCGGGGCGGGGTCTGGGTCGGACAGCTCCAGGGTCCTGCTTGTCAGACTCACACCCTGGACAGGGCAGAGCAGGACTGCGTGAGATTTCATCACCCTTCTCCACACAGCCTACAGTGTAAAACTTGGAAATGATTTCCAGCACTCTCCACTGGACATTTCTAGAGCAGCTAAATCCTTAGGCAGAGAGAGACTGCTATCTGAGGATTATTTTGTTGGGGGCATGGAATTCATGTTTCTGTTATCTGTCTGTTGTGTGGTGCTGGGGATTGAACCCAGGACCTGATGCATGCTGGGCATGTGACGGACCACCCAGCTACACCGTCAGCCTGAAAGTCATTTGGAAGCTGCATAGTATTGTATCAAAGTTCTTGTAAGAAATGTCAGCTGGCCCAATTGATTAGTCTTGACACTTTGGAATTTCTAAGGACTCCCTCTTTTCCCAAAGATAAGTTTATATTCCAGATGTTTCCCTTTAAGTAGGTCTGTTCCTAAGAAATGCTAAATCTTTTTATTTTGAATATTTTGTTGCTCATAAAACTTAATTGTAATTCCTTAACCTGCGATGAAACTTTAATAGAATTCAATAGAGGTAACAGAAAGAGGCAAAGCTCTTCTATGTGTCCCATTAAGGGCTTTGCATATACTGGTTCAGAAATCTGTACTGTTTCATGGAATGGAGTCTAATTATCTCTCACAACCATGCATGGTAGGCGGTGTTGTCCTAACTTAACTGTGGAGCATCTGACCTATAGGTCAGACAAATTGCTGGAAGTGACATTGCTTTGCAGGGTCACAACCAAAGGTAAAATCAAGGTGTGTGGTTTTTTGTTGTTGTTTTTGCTCTAAAGCTTGTAGTCTGTTAGTAATACTATTTTTATTTCACGGGGGATTTGACAAATGTATGGTGAGACAAAGGATGACCGAGGCTCTGAGAGGTTCCTCTTTAGAGCAGTGTTTAACACTTTGACATACCCATGCCTGGTGGAATCACAAGCACTTCAGCAAATCTCTGCTGTTTGAAATCAGGTATCACTGATTTGTTCTGCTTAATGTCCATTAGGTTTAAGACTTTTTCTGTCTTGAATTTTTAGTTTATATTTTCTGTGTTTGTTGTTGTGACCATTCTGCCTTATTTCAGGAATTAGTCCTTTTATTGACGCTAAGGCCAAACCACTGAATCACACGTAAATCACAGGTTGAGACACAGCCTGAAATACCTGAATGTTAAATTTGGTTACACAGTTGTGTATGTGACATGTGCCATCTTCCTGAGTCCCCTTCAGATTTAGAGGGAGAAAAAGTAAAGTGTCACCTCTCTGTTCTTTCCAGCTTTCAGAAGAGTTCTTAGATAGATGCCTGTCCTACCCAGAGAGCCAGCACGTGCCCCTGAGCCAGCACATGCTTGGCTTTGCCTCCAAGTCTGTCACACGGATGGTCCTGGGTAGCACGTTTGAAGATGAACAGGAAGTCATCCGCTTCCAAAAGATTCATGGCACAGTGAGTCAAGGGCAACATTTAAAATGACCCTTTTATCAGACTGCATTGACTTTACCTCTCAAGAGTATGTGTGTGTGTGTGTGTGTGTGTGTGTGTGTGTGTGTGTGTGTGTGTGTTTTATGTTTGTATGGCTGTTTGTACACATATGCCCATGTATGTGATGACCCAAGATTAGTACTTAGTGTTTCCTTTTCTCTGTCCCATCTTATTTTTGAGATATTTTGATATCTCTCCCTGAGCCCTGAGCTCAGGGATCAGCTACAGCTACTGGTCAGGGAGCTTCAGGGATCTGCTCATCATCATGCCTTCAGCATAGGGTTGTAGGTGTGTGTCACCACGCCTGGCGTTTTGGTAGATCCAGAACTCTGGTTCTCACGCTTGCAATAGTGGGCATCTTACCAACTGAGCCGTCTGCCCAGCTGTGGGTCCCTCAAGAAGACGTAAGCGTCTTTGTTTGGACCTGAAAAGAAAAGAGGAAGTTGAGATATCTGGTGCTTTTTTGTATTGGGTGAAGGTCTGTTTTCTTTTTAGGTGAACACTTTTTGAAATGTAAAAAGTGTATGATTAAATAAAAAAAAATCTAATATTTAACCAGTATGTTGTAGAAATACTATTGAATTCTAGAACAAAGAGAAAAGCTACATTTAATCGACTAGATTGTGCCCTGCAGAGAAAGAAGTTCACGATCAGTGGCGCATGGAGACGCTGGTGAGCTGAACATGATTAGCAGCATGGCCAATACAGTCTGACTGAGGAACTCAGGCTTTTCTACACTCATGTGGAGTTCTTAAGTCGGTTTCAACATGAGATTAACTTATTTTTTGAAATCATATTTAGGTCATGAATTCTACCACTTCTCGGATTTGAGCAATCATTCCTTATTTATTTAAGTCCACAAATAGTTTTTTCTTTTCTTCTTTTTTTCCTCTTTTTTTTGTTTTTGGTTTTTTCGAGATAGGTTTTCTCTGTGTAGTTTTGGTGCCTGTCCTGGATCTCACTCTGGAGACCAGGCTGGCCTCCAACTCCATAGCGATCCACCTGGCTCTGCCTCCCAAGTGCTGGGATTAAAGGCATGTGCCACCATGCCCAGTTTAATAGTTAAAGCAATGCGTTCTAAACAAAAATCACCAGGAACTGAAGGTTACTACCTTGTCACTGTTTAATATTATATGCGTGCTGGCAGGTGCATGTCCATGTGTGTGCATGCATGTGCAGGTGTGTAGGGAGGACAGAGGACAACTTCAGATGTCATCCACCTCCTTTGAGAGGAGGTCTTTTCATTCTTCTGGAGCTTACCAGTCTGCCCAGCAGGGGATCCCCCTGTGTCTACATCGCCTGCTGTGGTTACAGTCAGACATGTCACTGTTGCTGCTATGAAACACCGTGACCAAAAGCAATGGGGAGGGAAGGGCTTATTAGGCTTCCACTTCCACATCACTGTCCATCGCTGAGGGAAGTCAGGACAGGAACTCAATCAGGGCAGGAACCCGGAGGCAGGAGCTGACGCAGAGGATATAGAGGAGCACTGCTCACTGGCTTGTTCCTTATGACTTGCTCACACTGCTTTCTCTCTTTCTTTCTTTTCTTTTTTTCGAGACAGGGTTTCTCTGTGTAGCTTTGCGCCTGTCCTGGAACTCGCTTTGTAGACCAGGCTGGCCTCGAACTCACAGAGAGCTGCCTGCCTCTGCATGCGCCACCACTGCCCCGGCCACACTGCTTTCTTATAGAACCCAGGACACCTACCCAGGGACGGCATCATCATGATGGGCTGGGCCCTCCCACATTGATCATGACTAGTAATAAAATGCCCTACAGCTGGGTCTTGTGGAGGAATTTCCTCAGTTGAGGTTCCCTCCTCTCTGATGACTCTATCTTGTGTCAAGTTGACATAAAACTAGCCAGTCCACCCACTTAAAAATATTTATTTCATTTACTTGTTGTTTTAGTTATTTGTATCATTAGTGTTTGCACATTTGTGGCGCCTAGAAGAGGGTGTTGGAGTTACAGGGATTTTGCTTGCTACACGGGTGCTGGGTTCCAGACTCTGGTCCTCGTGATTCTGTGGCGAGCACTTGTAACCACTGGGCCTTTTCTCCAGTCTTCCACTTTTTTGTGTGGGTGCTGGGAATCAGGCTCAGCTCCTCATATTTATAAGGCAAGTGGTTTATTAACTGAGCCATCTCCACTTTTACATCCAAACACTCTTGTAGTTGGTTGTTTTTTTTTTTTTAACTCTTTGCTCTTTGGGGGCCTGCTACCCAACTCTCAAATAAATACACGGGGACTTATTCTTCCTTATGAATGCCTGGCCCTAGCTTGGCTTGTTTCTAGCCAGCTTTTCTTAAATTATCCCATCTACCTTTTGCCTCAGGGCTTTTAGCTTTCACTATTTCTGTATATCCTTTCTTTCCTTCTTATTCTGTGTCTGCTGTGTGGCTGTGTGGCTGGCCCCCAGCATCCTCTTCTCCTTCTCATTATCTGGCTCTCCCTCTTCTCTTTTTCTCCTCCTATTTATTCTCTCTGCCTGCCAGCCCCACCTTGCTATTGGCCATTCAGCTCTTTATTAGACCATCAGGTGTATTAGACAGGCATAGTAACACAGCTTCACAGAGTTAAACAAATGCAACATAAAAGAATGCAACACATCTTTGCATCATTAAACAAATGTTCCACAGCATAAACAAATGTAACACATCTTCAGCTAGTATTCCACAGCACACTCTGAAATGTATACATTAATAACTTTTGTGGGTTTTTGTTCTTTGAGACAGGGTTTCTCTGTGTAGCCCTGGCTGTCGTGGAACTCTGTGTGAACTAGGCTGGCCTCAAAGTCAGAATTCTCCTGCCTCTGCTTCCTGAGTGCTGGGATTACAGGCGTGCGCCACCGTTCCTGACTGGCTTGGCTTGCAATAATTTTAAGATGAGTATTAGAAACACTTGATTATACTCCATTATTTAAAATATTTACCCATTCACTAGTGTGTTTTTTCTTTTTTCCAGAGGTTTTGAATTGTTACTAAGTTAAAGATTTGTTTGTCTAGTGACCCAGATTTGAAAGATTAGAAGCTATTTTTCTGCTTATTGTCTTCAAACCTTAGACTAAATGTTAACATTCCTTGGTTTCATCCATGTTTATCAATATCTTAAGTAACATAAAAATGTTAATTACCTGTGATTTATTTAATCCTCTCATGTCTGAGGGGATCGCATATATATAATAAAAAACTCGAGGCAGTGGTGGCGCATGCCTTTAATCCCAGCACTCGGGAGGCAGATCTCTGTGAGTTCACGGCCAGCCTGCTCTACAGAGCAAGTTTCAGGACAACCAGGTCTATACGGAGAAACCCTCTCAAAAACAAAACAAAGCAAAAAGAAAGAAAGAAAGAAAGAACAGAAACTTTTCATATGCCAGCTGAAATTAGTTTGAAAGTGCCTTGATTAAAACCATTAAAAATATATCTGAGCCCTGTTCTCAGGAGCTATGGATCACATGATCAGACAGCCTGACAAGGAAGAGCTTAGGTACTCAGATCTGCTGGTGAGGAAGGTCCTCAGTATTCAACAGTTTGGTCACTCAGCATCATGTGGGAGATCTGTACACTACATAGTACTCACATGGCTTCCTGCTTTTAGGTTTGGTCTGAGATTGGAAAAGGCTTTCTCGATGGGTCTCTTGATAAAAATGCCACTCGGAAGAAACAGTATCAAGACGGTAAGTTTAGCCACTCTCAATGAACTGGTTTTGGGTAGTGCATGGCAGGCAGGTACCTGCTGCTGGTCCAGAGCCCAGCTCTCACCCTGGGATTTTAATAAGGTTTCAAAGATGCGTGCCAGGATTTTAGTAGTTTCATCTTTGAACAGTGAGATTATTGGTCATTTATATTTTCTCTATGCTTTTTCCTTCTACATTTCATTCAGTGATCGTTTTTCTTCGATGAAAGAGCAGTAAGTTGAAGCTGATGCTCACTGTGGGAAGCATAAGGGGACACCAGAAAGCCATTCAATAATCTGTATTATGAATAATAAACACGGGTGGAGGGGTTGGGGATTTAGCTCAGTGGTAGAGTGCTTGCCTAGCAAGCACAAGGCCCTGGGTTCGGTCCTCAGCTCTGGGAAAAATAAAAAAAAAAAATAAACATGGGTGGAATTCTCTTAAAACAAGAAAATATTTGAGTAGTTTTTTTTTTTTTTTTTTTTTTGGTTTTTCGAGACAGGGTTTCTCTGTGTAGCTTTGCGCCTTTCCTGGATCTCGCGCTGTAGACCAGGCTGGCCTCGAACTCACAGAGATCCGCCTGCCTCTGCCTCCCAAGTGCTGGGATTAAAGGCGTGTACCACCACTGCCCGGCTTGTTTTTTGTTTTTGAGACAGGGTCTTTCTGTGTAACAGCCCTGGCTGTCCTGGAACTCACTCTGAAGATCAGGCTGGCCTCCAACTCACAGAGATCTTCCTGCCTCTGCCTCCAAGTACTGGAATTAAATGCCTGTGAGCCCGGCTGTGATTGAGCTTTTTGCCTGCATGTGTGTATGTGCACAATGTGTGTGCAGTGCCCTAGGAGGCCAGAAGAGGGCGTTGAATCCTCTGGAACTGGAGTTACAGGTAGTTGTGAGCTGCCATGTGAGTGCTGAGAACTGAACCTGGGTCTTCTGCAAGAACAGCCAGTGCTTTCAACTGCTGAGCCCTCTCTCTAGCTCCCCAAATAAAAAATATACTGTCATTATAAAATTGAGTGAAATTTTATGTTTTCTAAATTGTCTGACAGTGACTTAGAAAGTTTCCATACAGGGACTGGAGAGGTGGCTTAGCAGATGAGTTCACATCCTAGCATCCACATTGGGTAGATCACAAACACCTGTAATTCCAGCTCCCAAGGATCTGATAGCCTCTTCTTACCTCTGGGGACACCTGCACGCACTCACACACATGTGCACACACATAGATAAAAAGGAAATATTAGTAAAGTTTACAAAATAGAAACTAAAATTCACATAGAAAAGAGTATCTTGTAGGGCTGGGGATGGCTCCATTGGTCATGCACTGGCCGCTCTAGCCCAAGGACTTGAGTTCAGATTCCCAGCACCTATACAGAATCTAGGTGAGTGGCACACACCTGTAACTCCAGCACTCAAGGGGACATCAGAGGAGGTGACAGGTGGATCAAGGGCTTGCTGGTCAGCCAGCCTAGCTGAAATGCCAACAACCTCTAGGTCCAGTGAAAGACATTATCTCAAAAAATAAGGTGCCAAGCCATCAAAATGGATCGGTGGGCAGCCCTGACAGCGCGAGTGTCCATGTAGACTAGAGCTTGATGTCTGATTCCGCCCTCTGTCACTCTTGACCTTAAGTTTTGAGACAAGTCTCTAGCTAAGCTTAGAGCTCACTGACTAGGAAAGACTAGCTGGCCAGTGAGCCCCAGTGCCTGTAGCATATGTGACTGCAGGCCAGAAGAGGGCACCAGATCTCATTACGGATGGTTGTGAGCCATGTGGTTGCTGGGAATTGAACTCAGGACCTCTGGAAGAGCAGTCAGTGCTCTTAACCTCTGAGCCATCTCTCCAGCCCCTCTCTTTTTCTTCCTTACGTGAGCGATGGGGATATAAATCTAGGTCCTCACGCTTGGGCAGCGGACAGTTCACTGAGCCGTCCCACGCTCATGCCAGGAATGTATTAATATGTTTACTCTGACCTGCTTCATTTTCTTTTCTTGGAACCAGGCAGGGTAGTTAGAACACAGATCCTGTACAGTTGTACACTTGTGTGGTCCCAGCTACTTGGTATGCTGAGGCAGGAGGATCATCCATTTCGATCCAGGAGTTAGAAACCCACCTCCCTAAAGAGGAAAACAGATTATTTTCCATACGTAATGGTATTCTTCATAGGCTTCTCTTAAGTGTTTAACTATGACCTCCTGTGTGCTGCTTCTTCCTCTGTGCACAGGCCACAGAGCTTCATGTGCTCATACTGACAGTTTTAGGGATGCTCCTGACACACCCAGCAGAGGGTTTTTTAAAAGCCAATTTGATACACTTCCAGTGAGAGTACTCATGGCCTTTCTCCTCATCTGATGGATGCGTTTAGATTAATTCCCCTTTGTAAAAACTACATTTCAGAAATGGTCCCAATAATCCCCAAGCTTCTTTACACCACAGTTTTGTGTTGTGTTGTTTTAATATTGAAGCCTGGTTTCTACCCCCAGACACTTAGATTCAATTGCTGTGAGGTGTGACTTGTGTTTTACTGTCTTTAGAAACGCCTCCCAGGTGATTGCAGTGTGCTGCCGTGTGGGAATTCCTGCAGCACACTGTCAGCAAACCCTCCTTTCCATCATTAACGTGGGGTCCGTTTTTCCAGTCTTATCACTATTTGGTCAGGATTTATACTGTCCTGTTGTTCAGTTCTGAGAGATGTTAATGCATAAGAAGACTCCCTGTGCCTCATTCTAGCTGGAAGAAATTAGAAACGATCTAAATTAGTAAATTTATAGAGTGTGAAAGCGGCTGTGGTGGGAAGTGGGAAGGAGGCAGGAGAGTGTGGGGCGGAGAGGCTACAGTTTTAATTATTGTGACGGGGGCATCCGCTGGGATTGTTTCTCAGCATTTATGAGATGGAGACACCAGCCTTGCAGACCATTGGGTACTTGGATGTCCGAGGGAAGTCTGGCCAAGAGACTGTGACTCAGAGTCTTAGAGGTCCAACTATTCCCGGCGTATTTGAAGCTAGTATGGCTACCGTGATGCACATGACAAGGTGAGAGATGGAGATGAGGTCAGGAAGATTGGACAGTGTTGGTATGGCTTAGAGCTATGTATACGTGTATGTATATGTATACATATATGTATATGTAAGCATAATGTCTAGGTTGCTTCTTTGAGATAGGAAGCCGGTTCTGAGCTGTCATGCTCTGAGTTATGTATTTTTTTTAAGATCTTGGCTTCCACTGATAGATGAGAATGTCAGGTCAGAGGCAGAGGAAGTAATTCAGGCGTTGTTGCAATGAGGCAGGCTAGAAAGAGACTAGGCTTGGACCAGGTGCTGACCAGCAGGTAATGAGGGGCAGAGACAAGAGAGCAACAGAAAATTCTGTGCTCTGAAGACAGAATCATCAACACTGACTAATGCGTCAAATATGGAGCGAGAGAGGAGAAGGCGGCAGGCTGTTGGGCCAGAGTAACTAAAATAAGATTCTTAGTAAACATGATGGGAAGTTTGGGAAGGCAGTTTTGGAACATGTAGTATGCTTCAGGTACCTCGGTGGAGATGTCAAGGTTGCGGTTAAATTTATGAGTCTGGAGTTTGGAGTAAAGAGGTCCTGACTAGAAGTAAAATTTTGGAAGTATTAGTTACATAGTTTTAAAATCTTAATCAGAGCTCACCAAGGTAGCAAATATACATTAAAAGGGAGGTCCAAAACAAGGCCATTCCATAGTGAGTTCCAGGCCTGCCTGGGCCAAATAGTGAGACCCTGTCTCCAAACAGACAAACCAGAAGAAAGAAAAAGAAGAAGAAAAGAGAAATAAACAATAACCCAGCCCATGGACATTCCATTGTTAAAACCTTAACTCTGAAAGGAGTTAAAAGGAGATGAGATGGACAGCAGAGAGAGAGGGAGTGTGAGTCCCTGGACTGTCCTCCTGGGAGCCATGGGGGGCAGAGCTTCCGGAGTGAGTTCTGATGTCACCAGTGATAGAGCAGGTCACTGAGGATGAGGGAGGAAGCAAATCTTGGGGCAGTTTTAGTGGCCATCGGTTACCAGCTACTTGTGTCTTTTAGGTTTCAGAATTTACCTTTCTGATTATTTCCTATCTGTTTCTCTTTCTCAGTGAGTGAGACTTGATTTGAGAGAAGCAGTGGAGTTACAAGGCAGAATTTAGAAGGAAGGGTTAATATTAACAGAGAAACTTGAGTGTTTAGAGGCCTGTGTGGTGTTAGAATTGTTTTACATTTTCACCTGGGTGGTAATAATTTAAATGTTTCTTTAGACTCAATTACTTCTTGAATTGCATGTAGGTATTTTATGCACTTTTTAGTATGTATCTGAAATTTAACAAGAAAGGAAGACAAAATGTATATGAATTTAAATACAAATTTGCTTTTAAAATTATTGGTTACTGACTTCAAAGGTTTTGTTCCTCACATGGTAATATGAACAGAGGGGTTTTTGTTTGTTTTTTTGAGACAGGGTTTTTCTATGTAGCCGTGGCTGTCTTGGAACTTACTCTGTAGACCAGGCTAGCCTCGAACTCAGAGATCCGCCTGTCTCTACCTCCTAAGTGCTGGGATTAAAGGTGTGGGCACCACCACTGCCCAGCCTGAACGGAATTATTTTTAGGAAGTTTAATCTCCACAAATACTTATATACTTAATTAATTTTTTTCAAATTTTCTTCTTTAAGCCCTCATGCAGTTGGAATCTACTCTAAAGAAAATCATAAAGGAACGAAAAGGAAGGAACTTCAGTCAGCATATCTTCATCGACTCCTTAATCCAAGGGAACCTTAATGAGCAGCAGGTGATGAAAGTGTTAGGCATTTATGAGAAGGTCACATATGGCCTCCAAGAAGTTGGGTGTCTCTTGTCATATCGTGAGTAGTCAATGTCCCCCTAGTTCACCCTCTGAAGCCTCTGTAGAGCATTTAAAATTAGGATAAGCAAACATGAAGCCCAACTGATCTATTAAATTAATAGAGGAGGAGTGTGTGTGAGCCTTGATGGACTCAGCCTTCCTGCCCACATGGCCCGGTTCAATGCTTGTTACCAGCATAACGCTGTATTTATGGTGTTGCCAGGCAAGGGTCAGCAGTGACATCCTTGCCACTTCATTATAGGAGTCCCGGCATGGCATATACAATCTCTAATAGGCAGAAGGAAGTTTCTGGATGTGCGTTTGTGCAGAAATTGATCAGGTTCTGAGGACAGGAGCAGGCGCCCAAGACAATATTGTTGCACCAGACCATGCCATGAAAATAGGACTGAAAAGGTTTGCCTGTGGTGAGCCAGTAAGATTACTAAGAAATAAATGTCTGTTGCATCAAAAAGTCTGTGCAGCCAGGAGTGGGGGCATACACCTTTAGTCCCAGCACTCAGGAGGCAGAGGCAGGCCAGTTTCTGAGTTCTAGGCCAGCCTGCATAGTGAGACCCTGTCTTGAAAAACAAAAGACAATGCAAGGTATGATCTACCCATGACAGGGTGGATAGGAGAGGGTAGGGGTTTGAGAAACCAAAATGCATTGTATAGTGTGATTGTCAAAGGACAAATTTAATTAAAAATGACAAAAATAAAAGGTAAAATTAACACAAGTAAGAAAATAGGCAGTCCAGTCTTTAGAGATTTTTATTTGTTCTTTAACATGTAAATGTGTGAGCCTGTGTGAGATTATATACACCGTGTGTGTGCAAGAGCCCTCAGAGGCCAGCAGAGGGCGTTAGACCTCTGAGACTGGAGTTACAGGTGGTTGGGAGCCTCCCATTGTGCTTGCTGGGAACCAAACCTAAGTCCTCTGCAATAGCAGTGAATGCTCTTAACTGCTCAGACACCTCTCCGGCCCAGCTGCCCGTTATTCAGATTGGTTCTCATATTACACGGATTTTGTCTTTGGTGAAGACCTAATAAAGATATATTTCCTCCCACTTTTTCCTGAACCTAATTTTATACTCGAGATTATTTTAGTCGGATTTAGTGAAGACCACCTTATATTTCATACTTTCTAAATTTAGTTTTGTCTTGTAGATCCTAGAAGACAGTATGATATTTTCTCTGGCCGGTTGCATAATAACTGCAAAGTGTAAGTATGAGTTGATTTCTCTCTGATGGATTACAGAATACACACAGGTGAAGCTGTTCTAGAGAGAACTGCAGGGGTCCTCTGTCGTGCCCCTTCCTCGCTGTTTGATTCTGGTTTAAAAAGCTCGCTTGGCATGGGTGCCTCCCCCACACACATGTGTTCAATTTCACCTTCGAAAATTGCCATAAATTTCTCGGCACATTTTATGGATTGTGAATTCTATTAGCGCCTTTCAAATGAACTGCCGTCAACACCTTTCCTGGTGAGTGACGAGCTTTTCCATATCGCTTGCTCGCTTGCACGCACGCACGCATGCATGCACGCACACACCCGTGCTAAGGGTTGAACCCGGTCCTTGTCCACACTAGACAGACAGTCGCCCACTGAGTCACAGCCCCCCTGTTGCTGCTTTTCATCAGTCCCAAGCCGGTCTGCTGTTACTAAGGGCTGGAAAAGGGTGCCGAGTCCATATCATGATTCGAAAGAACTCTCTTCTTGGAATTGAAGATGATTTCTATTTAAAATCCTAAGATGTGTGACCTTCGTTGGTTTGTAGATTTATAGAGAACAGCGCATTGATACAGGATTTATAGAAAATGTTTATAAACATAAAAAGGTATAATATAAAATGCTTCCAGGAAGTACTCAGGTACCAGCTTAAAATGTGGAAAATTGATGTTCACTTGAAGGACTTGGTTTACCCTTTATTTCAAGGGGAAGTTTTTGGAATGCTGAGGGCTGCTAGTGTGAACTCCCCACACATTTCTCCTCTTTAACATCTAGATGTGTCCAGATGTTACAGACCAAATGAAATTTATGCAGATGTGTCAAAGATCTCAATTACTTAAAAATGTATTATTTATTTTTTTCTCACATTTGTTTACCTGTTGTGGTAGCATGGGCACAGGTCATGGTGTGAGCATGCAGTCAGTGGAGTTCAGCTTACCGTAGGTCCAGGAACTGGACTCAGGTCATTAGGCTTGCCAGCCAGTAAATTTACCTGCTGAGCCATCTCACAACCCATCAATATTCTTTTAATGCTTATTTGGTTTCTTGATTTTTTTTTTGAGACAGGGTTTCTCTGTATAACAGTCCTGACTGTCCTGGAATTCACTCTGTAGACCAGGCTGGCTTCAAACTCCCAGAGATCCGCCTGCCTCTGCCTCCTGAGTACTGGGTAAAGGTGTGCACCACCACCGCCAGGCTTTGCTTATTTGTTTTAAATCTATATTACATTAAAATGTATCTTTGAAAAAGCTTTTTAAAAAAATGGAATTAACCTGGACATGGTGGCATATGTCTAAATTCTAGTATTGAGGAGGGTGAGTTGGGAGGGTCACAAGTTCCAGGCCAGCTAGGGCCACACAGACCTGGTCTCAAAAACAGACACAAAACAAAAGAGAGTTTATTATGCTGTGACAACCACAAAAATTGGTCATGTGAAAGGTAGAATTAAAGTTAAATCTCATTTTCAGTTTTTAGGGAGAGTTTATAAAGAACATTACTATTTATTTCTTTGCATGTATTCTGTGATTTTTTTAAGAGATGTATTTATTAGTTTTAAGTGATAAGTCAAGCAGGACATATGGATGACTACTGTATACAAATCCTTGTTAGTAGTATAATAGATATATATTGTAAACTTGTACTGCATATTCTAATATATAATGTAAATTACATATGTTTACATATCATTTGTGAAACAGAAATGCTGTGGTTCACCCTAAAGCCATAGTGGGCCATGCTAAGTAAAGTGGTGGCACACGCCTTTAGTCCCAGCACTTGGGAGGCAGAGGCAGGCGGCTCTCTGGGAGTTCGAGGCCAGCCTGGGCTACAGAGCAAGTTCCAGGACAGACCGGATGTGTAGGGAAAGTTAACATAGCCAGTTACTCTTGAATAATTGAGTTACCAGGTGGCTATTGATTTTTAGAGGCAATAAGTCAGTCAGGCAGACATTTTTAAAAAGTTAATTTTGGGTTTTGTGAGTGTAGTTCTGTGTTAGAACACTTACCTTGCACACACAAGGCCTTGGTTTGATCCCCAGCACTGCAATAACAACAACAACAACAACAATAATAATAATAATAATAAGTTAAGAGTCAGCCCTCAGCCTAAGAAAAAAAGGTCATTGATAAGGAGAGGTAGACAGTGCTCTATACACATCACAGAGCTTCTGGAATAGAAAAGGCAGCTCCGTAGGTACTGTTGCTTAAGCATATCTAGGGAGAGGTTTATTGGAACAGTCAGAGAGCGTAGCTACTGTGTTCCCTCTGCCTTTTGTCCCTTTTACCCTGTGAAAATAATCCACAAACCAGCTGAAACCAAAAGTGAGCCACGAGCCAGTGTCTGTCAGAGTACTTATTAAAAGTTCAGAGGAGGGACGGGGAGGTGGCTCCGGGGGTGAAGGTACTCGCCTCCAACCTGATGACCTGAATTCAGACCCGGGAACCCACATGGTAGAAGGGAGAGAACCGACTCCTACTGGTTCTGAGCCCCGCAGACATGTCAGCACCCGTACATATACATACACACACATACATAGATGCACAGTAGATAAATAGGATTAAAGTTTTTTAAATAGTGCAGGTGGGGGACCTTACCCCCAACCTGTGGAGTCAGAGTCTCTGGTGAACTCTCAAATGATTTGGGGAGCCAATCACCCGAGCAATAATTATGAAAAGTTTTAAAAAATTTCATGTTCTCATATGAGCAAATGTCCCGCTAATTTGATTTGTAGGAATCATTAGTGTTTCTGAGTGAAGAAGCTGATTAAGTTGGGTTTTTACTTCATGAGATTGAAATAGATAATCTCCAACATTCAGTCCCCCTTGGGTGTTTATCCTCACCGGCCTTAGGTAGGCTGACCTTACGTGGTCTGTTCCTTACCTGCCAGACTTCAGAAAGACATATCTTCATAGCTCTACATGTTTTCCCATCTTCTACACATCTTTGTGTTCTGTTCAAAGAAACTCAAGTCCTGTGAAGAATTTTGTTTTAATTTTTGGTAACATTCATGTACATCTACCAGGAAAAAAAATTCATGAACTAAACCATTAGCCTTTTTTTTCCCTTGTTTTATACCAGAAATTATGCAGTGGCTATTTTCATTGACCCCAATATGCTTTTTACATAGTGTGCACCTGGGCAATCTGCTTTCTGACGACTTCTGAAGACGTTCAGAAGAAGCTGCATAAGGAGATAGACGAAGTTTTCGGGAAGGGTCCTATTACTTCAGAGAAAATTGAGCAGCTAAGGTAGGAATACAATGAACGGAAAAAAATCATTTAACAGGCAATATTAGGTGGTTTATTTATTAACATAAAGCTTATTCTAAGCTGGGCGGTGGTGGCGCACGCCTTTAATCCCAGCACTCAGGAGGCAGAGCCAGGCGGATCTCTGTGAGTTCGAGGCCAGCCTGGACTACCAAGTGAGTTCCAGGAAAGGCGCAAAACTACACAGAGAAACCCTGTCTCGAAAAACCAGAAAAAAAAAAAAAAAAGCTTATGCTAAGATGTAGGAAAGATATAGATATCTTTCTTAAAATATTTACATAGATTTTAATTTTGATTTGTTTCTGTTTATTTAAAAAATTATTTAGATGGGCGTAGTGGTACAAACATTTAATCCCAGCACTTGAGAGGCAGAGGCAGGTGGATCTCTGAGTTCAAGGCCAGCCTGGTCTACAGAGTGAGACCCAGGACAGACAGAACTACAATAAAGAGACCCTGTCTTGCAAAAAAATAAAAATAAAAACAACCAAGTTTTATGTGTATGTGTCTATAAGAGTGTGTGTACACATCTGTGTGGGTGCCTTTGGAGACCAGAAGAGGGAATTGGATCCCTTGGAGCTGGAGTTAGTTGTGAGCCACCCAACATGGGTACTGGGATCCAAACTGAGTCCTCATGATTGGGCAGCAAGCACTCTTACTTGTTCTTGACAGCCCCTGTTTCTGCTTTTTGAGGCAAAGTCTTACTGTGTACAGGGCACAAACTTGTAATTCTCCTGCCTCAACCTCCTGGGTACTATGATGACAATTACGTATACCACACCCATTTACATACAGATTTTAACAGATTAAATTTAATCTCATGTCTAAAACCATAAAAGTAGTTCTGGGAGCTGGAGAGATGGCCCAGCAGTTAAGAGCACTGACGGCTCTTCTAGATGACCCAGGTTCAAATCCCAGAACCCACATGGTGGTTCACAACCATCTGCAGTTCCAGTTCCCAGGGATCCAGTGCCCTCTTGTGGCCTCCATGAGCAGTACATGCTAATATGGTGTAACAGACATACATGCTCATAAAACACCTAGACACAGAGAATAATAATAAGTTTAAAAATAGGACTATGCAACTGTTGGGCCATATTAAAAAATAAAGTAGTTCTAGAGAACCTTTTAATTAGCCTGTATGTAGTACCAATGATGTCAAGCATGTGGACATTGATACTTTGTTTATAGGAATACCAAATGGTAGAGGCACATGGGGAAATGCTGTGGTAGGATTTTATAGTGTTAAGCATACACTCAGCCTCTGTATGACTCCAAAATTCCTGAGCATTCCTAGGTAGTTACTCAAGAGAAATGAAAGCAGGCCTACCCAAAGACCTGTGTGCAAATGTTGGTAGCCGTATATTCAAAACACACGAGCTGGAAGCAGTCCAGATGTCTACCAACTGGTAGATAGATAAATTAGCAAATTTTGATACTGCCATGCTGGGGGAGGCTGCTACTTAGTAGAAAAACAATGTCAATATGTACAGCCACTTGTTATGATAAGTGAAAAAAACGAAGTGCAGAGGACTGCCTGCCACATTGTTTGACCAATGAGAAATTCTGCCAAAGGCAGCATCAGCTGCTGGAAGGCCTTGCCGCTTACTTCTGTCAACCTGTTCTCCAGATTGCGCCGGGTCTGTGGTTGCACACTGTAATCACTTGGGTCACTGCAAAAGACAGATACCTACCTGGAAGCAATCTCAAACTGTTCTGCAGTCTCTGGGCATCAGAAGGCTTCCCAGAGTTCAGCCCCCCCCCCCCCCACCCCAAGACAGGGTTTCTCTGTGTAGCTTTGCACCTTTCCTAGTACTCACTTGGTAGCCCAGGCTGGCCTCGAACTCACAGAGATCCGCCTGCCTCTGCCTCCCGAGTGCTGGGATTAAAGGTGTCTGTCACCACCTCCCGGCTCAGAGTTCAGTCTTAACAGAAACATCCCCAAAAAGAAAAAGAAAGTTTCCCACGTCCCTGAAACTGGAGTTACAGACTGTTGTGAGTTACAGTATGGGTGCCGGGATCCAAAACTTGGGTCCTCTGAAAGAGCCATGAGTGTTCACAACCTCTGAACTGTCTCTCCAGCCCAATCGTGTGGTTTTTGACCTCCATTCTGCCAATGTTTGTCGTGTTTATTAACTTCAACACATCTGTTTAATTTTTTAAAAAAACAGATATTGCCGGCATGTGCTCTGTGAAACTGTTCGGACTGCCAAACTAACCCCAGTTTCTGCCCGGCTTCAAGATCTTGAAGGAAAAGTCGGCCCATTTGTTATTCCTAAGGAGGTGGGAAACGTTTGTTGTATTTAACTTAGCTTGTCTTCAGCTGCTTTGGTGTGTGTTTTTATCTGATTTCTTTTAATTGAAAATAATTTTTTTCATATGGTCTATTTTGATCCGTTTCCCTTCTCCCATCTCCTCCCCATCCTTTCAGCTCCACGGCCTTCTTTCTCTCTTTAGAAAACAAACAGGAAAATAAAGAAACAAATCAGAATAAACAAAACATACAAACAAAAAACCAAAGAAGAGTCGTGAGAGACACCATTCACAACACAAACACACTCACACACACACAATAATAAAAACACAAAGTTGGAAACCATAATATACAAGCAAAAGGCCAGTAAGTTAAAAAAAAATGCCAGAACAAAGCAGTTTTTGAGAGGAAAGTCTCCAAAAATGCCATTGAGTTTGTCTTGTGGTGGTTGTCTGCCACTGGGCTGGGGTGTGTTCTTGTTTTCCTGAAGGTGTTCAGTCAGTGCTACATGTCACCGAGTCACAGCCAGACTCATGGCCACTGGATCTGGCGAATTTCCTTTAGCTTCCCTCCCTTGTCTCCATGTCCTGCTGTCCCCCGTCTGTATGTCTGTGTGTTCTTGTGTGTGATTATTGAGCTGTGTGTGCATGCATATACACACACATGTGTACCAGGCTTTTTCCTTTGGGCCACCAACCAGCTCCCAAATCAAGATACGGAGACATATATTAGTTTTCAAATGCTCGGCCTTAGCTCAGCTCTTATTTTAACCTGTTTCTCTCTATCTATGTTTTGCCTTGGGGCTTTTCATCTTTTTTTCCTTCTGTTTATCTTGTTTCCCTGCTGTCTCTGTGGCTGGCTTCTGGCCCCAGGTGTCCCTCTTTTTTTTTTTTTTTCCTTTCTCCTCTTCTCTCTTCTGCCTAGATTGCTCCTCCTATTTATTCTCTCTATCCACCAGCCCTGCTCATCCCTCTCCTGCCTAGTTATTGGCCATCCAGCTCTTTATTAGACCAATCAGGTGCCTTAGGCAGGCAAGGTGAAACAGCAACACATCTTTTCATAATTAGACAAATACAGCATAAACAAATGTCACACACCTTTACACAGTTCAAGTAATATTCCACCATAAACAAATGTCACACACCTTTACACAGTTCAAGTAATATTCCACCATAAACAAATGTCACACACCTTTACACAGTTCAAGTAATATTCCACAGCATAAACAAATGTAACACATCTTTACATACGTATGTATCTTAAAAACTCAAGTTAGGGGCTGGTAAGATTACTCAGCAGATAAAACACCTGATGTGCTAGCCTGGTGACCTGGGTTTGATCCCCAGAGCCCACATTAAGGTGGAAGGAGAGAACTGCCTCCGAAGAGTTGAACTCTGATCCCACACGCCACGTGGCACACCCTTAATCATACTCACACATAATACACACAACAAATAATAATCATTTTTTTTTTTTTTCGAGACAGGGTTTCTCTGTGTAGCTTTGCGCCTTTCCTGGAACTCACTTGGTAGCCAGGCTGGCCTCGAACTCACAGAGATCCGCCTGGCTCTGCCTCCCGAGTGCTGGGATTAAAGGCGTGCGCCGCCACCACCGCCCGGCCTAATAATTTTTTTTTTTAAACTGAGCCTTACTATGATATATGTTCTTTCTTTTTTATTAAGTATATCGTAACTGTTAATAAAACCAGCACTTGATGGAGATCCCATTCATTTTAAAAGTCATGTAGTATTCCACTACATGTATCATATCAATTTATGTCCTGTAAAGAAAGCCATCCCACTAATGAAGATTCAGATTGACATTCTCCTTTTATTTTTATAAATTATACAGTGGTATAGGTATTGAATAATACCTTAGAAATGGAATTTTTGAAAGCTGGGCGTGGTGTTGCATACCTGTAATTCCAGTACTCAAGAGGCTGAGGCAGGAGGATTGCCATATGTTTGAAGCCATCCTGCAAGACATAGTGTGTTGGAGGTCAGCCTGGGCTACTTAGTGAGGAAATGGAGTGTCTGGATCAAAAGCCTTGTGCTGCCCTTAGGGATTGATGTTAGCTCAGGTAGAGCCCTTGACCAGCTCTGCGCAAGGCCCTGGTTTTGAGCCTGAGCACCACCAAATGAATTATTTCATTAATAATAAATGAATCTTGTGAAAGGCAATTTATACTTCACTAATAATGATAGTACATGCTTTCTCAGGGTTAGGGATGTGGCCCCATGATAGTGTACTTATCTGGCTTGTGTAGAGGTCAGTCCTTAGCACAACAAGGTAACTGACTGATCAACTAACTCACAAAATCCTTTGAAGATTGGGGGTTAGCCAGGCGGTGGTGGCACACGCCTTTAATCTCAGCACTTGGGAGGCAGAGGCAGGTGGATCTCTGTGAGTTTGAGGCCAGCCTGGTCTACAGAGTGAGTTCCAGGACATCCAGGACTGTTACACAGAGAATCCCTGTCTTGGAAAAAAAAAGAAGAAAAAAAGAAAAAAGACTGGGGGTATATCTCAGTGGGCTCCAGAGTTCAATCCCTAAGCACCCCCCCACCCCACCCCCCCGCAAAAAAAAAAACCTCCCTCCAGTTTCTCACCACTTTGGATTTATGAATCTTCTGTGTGTCTTGTACGTCATATCATCTTATTGATCCAATGCTCCTCTCTGATAATTAACGGCTTTTCATCCGTGTATCCAGTTTGCATTTCTCTTCTGACCCCTGCTCTTCTTCCTGGTGAGCTGTCTGCCTGTTCCTCGGCTGTCGGTTATGTGGTGGATTTCTTCCTGTTTATAATCCCCTTCCCCAGAGGCTCACATACTTCTCAGGTTTTAGCCATGTGCAGGTTTTAAACTTTCACAGAGTGAAGTCTGGCTTTTCCTGCTCGGCATCCAGATACAGCGGCATGCTTAGGAGGCCTGATCGGTTGTAAGATGACCGAGAGAATGGCCGGTGGCGACTTCGTCACTTTACATTCTCACTGTCTGTCCTAGAAGAGCCTTTGGGGGACCGGTGTTGCGTTTGTCATGCTCGACTAACTAGACTTTGTCTTTTAGACCCTCGTCCTTTATGCCCTCGGCGTGGTTCTTCAGGACCCCAGCACTTGGCCGTCCCCACACAAGTATGAAACAGTCTTATGTCTTTTTGATTGCTGTGTTTGTGTGTATGCGTATTTGCATTCCTTTCCAGTGGTTTGAAGAGAAAACTCAGTATGTGGTAACGATGTGACAGAGGACTGGGAAGCCACTCCACTTTTGTCTGCTCTATTAGCTAAATTTTATATTCCAAATGTTTTTTTTTTTTTTCATTTTTATTTTTTGTGGTTTTTTTTTTCGAGTTTCTCTGTGTAGTTTTGGTGCCTGTCCTGGATCTCGCTCTATAGACCAGGCTGGCCTCGAACTCACAGAGATCTGCTTGGCTCTGCCTCCTGAGTTCTGGGATTAAAGACATGCGCCACCACCACCCAGCTCCAAATTGTCTTAATAACAAAATTAAAGATGTGTTTCTGTAAAAATAAGTATGCCTATAATTATAGAAAACTAAAATTAGAAAAAAATTTTTTTTCTCAAGACAGGGTTTTTCTGTATAGCTCAGGCTGTCTTGGAACTCAGCCTGTCTGTAGACCAGGCTGGCCTTGAACTCAGAGATCCACCTGCCTCTGCCTCTCAAGTGCTGGGATTAAAGATGTGCACCACTATTGACAGCAAAGTTTGAAATTTTTTAATCTTAAAAAAAAATCTATGTGAAAAATGCCAGGTTTTCGATAAACTTTAAGTGAGATATGAAGGATCTAGCTGAGTATGTTGCTCATGTGCAAGGCCTGGATTCCGTGACAGTACCATAGGGGGAGAGAAAGAGCAGGACCTGCATCGGAACTTTTGACATTATTGCTATTTCCAGAACATTCAGAGAAATTGAAAATGTTAAAAGAAATAAGTGGAGCCAGGTGTGGAGGCACACAGCTGTAATCCCATCACTTGGACATATAACATGTCTTTCTCTGTCCACTAGCCAGCTCCCAAATAAGGACATGGAGACTTCTTGTTAATTATGGAAACTTGGCCTTTAGTGTAGGCTTGTCCCCAACTAGCTCTTATAACTTATTAATCTGCTTCTATTAATCTACATTTTACCACGTGGCTTTTTTACCTCTTTTGCTGCACATCCTGCTTCCTCTGCCTCTGGCTGGCAACTCTGCCTTTCTTCCTCCCAGCATCCCTCTCTGCCCAGAAGTCCCGCCTATACCTCCTACCTACCTATTGGCTTGTTCCACAGCAATACACCTTCACACAGTGTACGAATATCCCACAACACTGGGGAGGTGGAGGCAGGAAAAGTGAGAGTTTGAGGATAACCTGGGCTACATGTCAAGACTTTCTCACAAATATCTCCCCTCACTCCCAAAGGGAATAGATGCTAAGTTGTGGAAGTCATTTTGAGGTATTAAATTTAGAAGATATAGAAGATATAGATATTAGTAGTATAACTGAGAGCTTCCTAAAGCTGGGCACTTCCGTATTCATGGGAGGGCCTGTCTCGGAAGGAAGGAAGGGAGAGAGACAGGATGAAAACAGTGATCTTCAGACTCAGCTCTTTTGGCTTCAGCCTTGGTTCATTTCACCCAGGAACTGTGTTGCCGCCCAAGGAACAAGCCCTGCTGTCTCAGCCCTTTGAGCAGAGTGGGAACAATTCCCGCCTCACAGGTGTGGGCAAGCTTAAAAGGATGCCTGGTAGAGTACCTAGCAGAGCACCTACTATGTAGCAAACGTTTGATAAGTGTGCATGTGCAGCACTCAAGGCCAGGTGCTATGCTAAACATTTTGTTTGTTTTTAATTTAATTAAAATGTAAATACATCATGTCCTCCCTCCCTCCGCTTCCTCCTACCCCTCCCATGTTGTCCTCCTCTTTGACCATTGTTGCTACACCTGCGTAGAAATGAATCGACATGGAAACCCAACCTGTTGAGTCCGCTCTGTGCTGCCTGCATGTGTGTGCTGCTAAGGCCACTGGATGTTGGTGCATCAGAGAGCTCATCCCCAGAGGACACTAATCCTCCTCCTCTAAGCAGTTGTCAGTTGCTTGTAGCCCCTCATCTAGGGGTAGGGCCTGGTGAGATCCCACCCCCAACCCCCCACCCCCACCCCCCGCCCTGTCTCAGGAATGTCAACTGTTACTGGAACTGTTTGGGTCTTGCTCAGGCAACCATGTTGTTTCATGGGCGTATCTTCCCCGTCATAACTAGAAGGCGCAATCTCAGCGGACTTCCTGGTCCCCTGGCATGAAACATTTCTCTTACCTGATGCTACTTAATTCTCTCCACCGACCCTGAGCTGAGTCTTCTACAGCTGGAGGAATTGGTCAAAGAGATCGAATTTACATAAGGGTGCAAAGAGACAGGATGCCAGCTGTTTTGACCACTGTTGGCGTTTGCTGTGTACGCAGCTGTGAAAGACACGTGTAGACACCCTACATAGGACCTTCTACAAGACAGATGAATGCAAAGGATATGCCTTTTGGCATATTGTAAATACTGGTGTGTGTGTGTGTGTGTGTGTGTGTGTGTATTTATTTTGGTTTTTTGAGACAGAGTTTCTCTGTGTAGCTTTGGAGCCTGTTCTGGATCTCACTCTGTAGACCAGGGTGGCCTCGAACTCACAAAGATCCACCTGTCTCTACCTCCTGAGTGTTGGGTTTAAAGGTGTGTACCACCACTGCCCAGCAAATACTGACATTTTAATAATCTGTAACTTAGCTCTTAAATGTGTTCATTACAATCTAAAATACTCCTGCCTCCTGTGTACATGGAAGGATAGGCGCTCTCTACCAAGTCCACCAGCTTCCAGCTCTCCACCAAATCCACCAGCAAGTGTTCATGTTCCTCGTCTCTAACACAGCATAGAGCTTTTAAAAACATTTGTGTTTGAAAAGAACTTCCATGTTTCTTTTTTAATGTTTCTACTTCTCTAACAGCATTTGACAGGGAAAGTTTAAAATAAGAGCCTTTCTTAGCCTCTTTCACTTATAGCAAATATGAGTACAGTATAGTTGGTAAATAGAATTTCAAGGCTTAGATGCCTAATTTGAATTGGAGAAACAATGTGACCTGCTACATTGCTGGATCTGAGGAAGGTATTTTTTTTTTAATCTACTGTTTAGAGGTAACATATTTAGAAACAGCAAGAGATTAAATGTCTGTGTGTTCAGTGGCTTGGAAGTATAATAAAGTATAATGTGACTGCAGTAGATTTAAATGGTTACAGCCTGTGCATTGAGTGTTGATGTTGAGGTGTAAGGGGGACCGTTATGATGAACTCAGATTTTCCTTTTAGGTTTGATCCGGATCGCTTTGCTGATGAATCAGTGATGAAAGTGTTTTCTTCGCTTGGCTTTTCAGGCACGTGGGAATGCCCAGAACTGAGGTAAATGACAGACAGCAGTGGGAAAGGAGAGATGCCATTCTCACCCGCTCAGAATTAGATGATCTCTCTTAACCAGAGTGAGCAATCTATGTAATTTTTAATGTTGAATTTTTAATCTTAAATCACTCGTTGACTCTCTTCTGGACCAGGTTTGCTTATATGGTGACCACGGTGCTCGTGACCGTGCTGGTGAGGAGACTGCGCCTTCTTGCTGTGGAGGGACAACTTTTTGAGATGAAGTATGAACTGGTCACATCTTCAAGGGAAGAAGCGTGGGTCACTGTCTCCAAAAGATACTAAACATTTAGACATTTTAAGTCTTTGTTAAGTAGATGAAGGGAAAAAGCCTATTTAGAATATGTGCTGGTCCTTTTACAAACCTAGTATCATTTTGTAATGTAAACCCTATTAGTGAAGTAAATTTGGATTTTTATATATCAAGATTTCTTAATGTGTGATATACATTTATACTCATTACAACAATATATTGACAATTTTAATAGGAAAGTTTCATTTTCTTTTAATTTGTATCATTTTCTAAGCCATTATTTTTAATCTTGATTTTCTTAGGTTGATCTCTCAAATGAATATATTATTAGTATTTTTTTTTTTTTTGATTTTCAAGACAGGGTTTCTTTGTGTAGTCTTGGCTGATCTCAGAATTCACTCTGTAGACCAGGCTGACCTTAACTCATAGAGATCCACCTGCCTCTGCCTCCTTAGTGCTGGCATTAAAGGTGTGCACCACCACCGCCCGGCTCAAATGAATAATCTTAGAATTCTTTTGTGTGAGTTGGAGAATCACATTTTCTGAATATTCATAAAGAAAAACAATGTTACCTCTTTTTACATTTCTAATAAATCACCTATCACTCTATTTGGGGACTGCTTTTGTTTCCTGAGTATTAATTAGTGTGTCTTAATCATTTTAATTAGGTTTTAGTAATTTCCTAGACATCGTCTAGTGTCTGCTGTCTTTTCTCCTTGCTTATCAGCGTCCCTCCCAAGGCTTGCACATGGCTTAGCATTTCAAGCAGTTTAGCGTCAGCTGGGAATCGCACGCTGCTTCTGAGTGTGCTTCAGAGCCCGCGCCCCTCCTCTGTGACAAGCTGAGGTGACACTCGTTCCCTTGCGCTGGCAATCTCAAAGCATTATGTTCAACTCTCCTTCTCATGCAGAGATACGGAACTCCTAAGTTGGGCATTAATTATGATGCCATAATGACACACCGCACTTCAGTAAGAAAGAATTAAACGCTAGCCGGAAACCACAACCAAATTGAGGTCGGAGAAGACAGCAGGTGGCGAAAGAAATTTTCAGCCTTGGGGCTGGAGAGATGGCTCAGTGGTTAAGAGCATTTGCTCTTCCAAAAGACCTGGGTTCTATTCCCAGCACCCACATGGCAGCTCACAACTGTCTTGGAGCTCCAGTTGCAGGGCATCTGGCATCCTCCCACGGACATACATGCAGGCAAAACACCAATGCACATAAAAATGAATAAATTTAAAAAAATTGTAAGCCGTATGGTAGACAAGGAAATATGCATATTACAGGCAAAGGGCTCACACAGACTGTTAAGGATCTGGGAACGTGGCTCGGTGGTAAAGCACTTGCCTTTCATGTGTTGCCTTGAGTTCAATACCCAGCACCTTGAAAACAAAACAAACAAAAAATCAAAACAAATAGGTTAAGAAAAACACCCAGTAAGATGCATGGACAGAAGAACAGAGAAATGGCTGATGACTATCTGCAGCAGTGTTCAGTCATTAGTAAGCACAGCGGTACTGAAGTCACTTAGGGAATATTTTAAAGAATTGTTCTCAGTATACTTTAGCACTAACAAGTGTTGTTGGTTGGTTTTTGCTGTTTGTTCTTTGGCTCTTTTGGGGGGGGCCCACCACCTAGCTCCCAAATAAATCACACATGGAGTCTCATTCTCACTTACGAATGCTCGGCCTTAGCTTGGCTTGTTTCTTGCCAGCTTTCCTTAGCTTTAAATTATCCCGTCTGCCTTTTGCCTCTGTGCTGTTTCTGTTTTCTTCTGTGTATCTTACCTTCACGCTTACTCCGTGACTGGTTGTGTGGCTGGGTGGCTGGCCCCTAGCATCCTCCTTCTCCTTCTTCGATCACTCCTCCTTCCTTTTCTTCCAGATTTCTCCCTCTATTTATTCTCTCTGCCCACCAGCCCCACCTACCCTTTCTCTGGCCTCACTGTTGGCCATTCAGTTCTTTAACGCAGCTTCACAAAGTTAAACAAATGCAACATAAAAGAAGGCAACACATCTTTGCATCACTAAACAAATGTTCCACAGCATAAACAAATGTAACCCATCTTAAAATAATATTCTACAAATAAGTGTTATTTTCAATGCTTTATTGATAGCATTTTGTTTTAGTTCATCTTTTGTCTTGTCTTGTGCTAAAATGATGAATTTCCTTTCTGCTCTTCTACTGAGGGGCACCCCAACCCCAGATTCTTTACCCCACTTCAGCTGCGGCTGCTGCTGCTTGTTTTTGTTTGTTTTAAGAAATCCTTTTTCTGGGTCTGCAAGATGGCTCAGCCAGTAAAAGCACCTGCCACCAAGACTGATGACCTGTGTTTGATCCAAGCGAGACCCACATGATGGAAAGAAAGAACTGATGTCACAAGTTGTCCTCTGACACAATACACCCACCCCCACACAAACAAAACAATTAGGCATTTACAAAAATTCCCTTTTTTTTGTAAACATTTGTTTTTAGACAACTGTAGGAAGAATGCCAAGCAGAGAAAGGGATTAATTGCAAACTGGTTATTTTTAACACCACTGAATTTTTGTTTGTTTTTCAAGCAAGTATGTGTGCACACACATATACACACATACCCTAGTTATTGAGTTATCCTATGGTGTGTGTGTTGATCAGATAATTGCAAGAACTATTTATGACCAATTAACATAGAATTTAATTGCTTCGGCCTGCCTCCCTTTTCTACTGATTACAGATGCATAATCAAGCTGTAGCATTTATTTCTAACATACACACATTTAAATTATGAAATATATTCCAAAACTTTCAGTGAAATCTGTTCCTGGTTACTATTATGTCGTTTCTAGACGTTGTCAGATTGTTAAATCTGGCCCCTCCCACCTGTATTTCCTGTGGTTTGAGTTTTGTGTTGTCCAGGTTTAGTGGGTAGATTGGAAACTGAAAAAAGGATTAGAGTTAGCGATTGATATGTAAACCAGGTGTCAGTGGGATCTGCTGAAATAAGGGTGATTTTAAAGCAAGCGAGGCCTGCTAAGCAATTATCAAGGCAAAGATTGGGTCCCTGACTAAGCCAGAGGGGAGCCTGGCATAATTGTCAATAAATGAGGTGGTGTGGAATAACTAATGACCAGCGGTGTGGAAAATGGAGCGCAGAGGAGTCAGCTGAATGAGCCTGTTGTGCCCAGTTACACAGTTAACTTAAGGAATAACAAAGTCTTTTCTAGAGTCTTTTTTTTCTTTTAATGGAAATTCTGGGGCTAGAAAAGTAGCCCCAGATGGTAAAATATTTGCCAGGAAAGCATAAGAACATGATTTAATTCCCAGTACCCATGTAAGTCCGATGTGGTGGCATCCCTGTGTAATCACAGGCTGTGGAGGCACAGACAGGCTGAGCCCTGGGGCTTGCTGGCCAGCGAGCCCAGTCTAATCTGTGAGGAAGGCCAGTGAGAGACCCTATCTCAAAAACAAGATGAATGACTGAGTAATAACACCTGGGCTGTCCTTTGGCCTCCACAGACACCCAATTTGCGCGCACGCGCACACACACACACACACACACACACACACACACACACACACACAAAATAGAAATACCAAAAGATTAAAAATGTAGCTCAATGAAAATACCTGATTAGCATTTTTGAGGCTCTGGGGATGAACCCAGTACCATATACACAAAATGTTTAGGTTTGATAGCATGAGTAAAAATATATTGTCTCCTGGCTCTTTGACCTCATTGTCACTGGTCACAAGATTCTTGCAGGACTCGAGTTTACTCTTAACAAGGCTTTTTAACTGATAATAAAGTGATATGGAGGATTGGTTCATGAGCCCCTGTAAGGGCCACTGTTAACCTGTAAGCCCCATTTGCCCAAGGATAGATAACTTCCTGGAATGCTGGCAGCTGCTGTTTCTGGGAGATAACAAGTCACATGTTCTCATTCCCCTAAAATTGGTTGACCCAACTGCATCGGATGTGTTGATCACATGTAGCGGGAGGAACATGGGCAGGAAGTATGTCAGTATATACGCTTGTCCCTCATTGGACCTGATGGGAAATACTTATGGTTTACCTTTTTAAGCCTCTGCAAAATGTGACTTGTCATTTCCTGGGAACTCCAGAATGGTCCTGCCAGAGCCCATCATCCTGGCCAGTATTTAAAGTTTGCCTCAAATTTGGCTCAAACATGGTAGAACTTGTCTTCTTCCCACAATTCTCAGGTTTAATCCCCTACCCTAGCTAAGGAGTTATTGACAGTTAACAACGGCTGTGGAGGGAGCCATTTTTCTTCAGTGTTTAATCACTGGTATGTTCCTCATGCTCCAGTGTAAGGTTCCGAGAATCGATGAGGAAAACCCTGGACTCAAATAGTATGCAAATATTCCAGCATGTGGGGTCACCACTTGTAAGAAATGGCCACAGGGGACAAAGGCCTGCAGGTCCTTTTAAGCATGGCTAGGGAAATCCCAGGAACAGCTGTTACATGAATCCATTTTTTTTTTTTCCGTATTTGGGCATATTTGGGCAAGTCCAGGCCTGTTTCAGGGGGTTACAGGAATGGTCCTTTTTTTGGTCATTGCTTTGAGATACTGTGGGACGGACTCAGGCCTCGTACCTGCTCTCTCCCTCATCCTCATTGTCAGGGTGTTGGGAACCAAACTAGGGTCTTCTGGGAAAGGTTCAAGGCCAGCCTCGCCTACCTAGTGAGACCCTGTCTCAGAGAAAAGAAAAACCCTTTGGAGTCAAACCATTGCTTCATTATTAGTGTATGAACAAGAGGATCAGATTCGGTACCTTACCAAGGAAGACAAGGGTGCTCATTAGGAGAACGGGAGAGCTTTCAGAGTAAGAGGGAACATAGCTGAAAATCGGTTTCACTGTTAGCAATATCAGCCATTCCTATGAATTGTTTAATTACACTCTTGCATTGGGTGTGTATAGTTTTCACCATCCGTTGCTTATGTTGCAAGGTCATTGGCTAATAGATAATTGACTTGAAAGCTTAACCGGATCTTCCAAGTATTTGATGGCATAGCCGGACCAAAATGGTAGAGACAGCCACCTAGGTAGGACTTCTGGGAATGGCATAAAAGTAATAGGCTTTGCTCTTTGGATATTTCTTGCGTAAGGTCTTTGGAAAATATGTGCTTAAGCCTAGGCTGCTGTTACAGTCATGGGTTTTTGTAAAGCTTTCAGAGTATAGATTCAAAAGGAATTTGAAAACAAATTTTAAAATGTTCTTGATACAGAACCTTTGAGGGAGAAGCAAATGTGTTTTGAATGCTAAATTTACTTAGATTTAAAAATACATATCTCCTAGCAAAGTTGCCATGACAACCTTCCTTAATGTGTGTGTAAATTTTATGTCTGTCTCTCTCAGGTTTTCATCTTTTCCAACAGTGTCTAATCACAAGAATTGGGCACTGTGATGTTTCTATATGGGTGGTACCCTGTGGAAATCATATAATTTTGGAAAATGTGGATCCAGTGACAGGACAGTCCTGTGGCATGTGAGCCTGCCAAGATTAATGTCATCTCTCTCTCTCTCTCTCTCTCTCTCTCTCTCTCTCTCTCTCTCTCTCTCTCTCTCTCTCTCTCTCTCTCTCTCTCTCCCCGGTCATAACTGA